TGTGTGTGTTTATCTATATATATATATATACATATATTAAACTTTTTGTTTTATCATGCTTAAAATAAATAAAAATTTTGGTTTTGAACTCAAGAAACTTGACAATGATTTACATCATCGTTAAAAAAATCGAAAAATTAAATAGGAAGCTAACTAATGCGAAACATGAGGTGGCTTTTATCAGTAATTGCATTTGTGAAGTCTTAACCCAATATATATATATATATATATATATATATATATATAATACTTTTATTTTACAGATAGATAAAGTAGAGAGAGTATTTATATAAATTCATTATTAATTAGGATCCTGTTCTTGACAATGTGATTAATATCCTTTCCTCAGTTGTGAAATAATGGTTAATGTTTCTTCACCGTCCAACAATTTTGAAATCCACTCATCGAATTTTCATTAAAACTTTTACAGTGCATTATTTTTTTTTTAATTCATTTATTTTTTATAAATTTGAAACTTTGAAAAATTGATTATACAAAGAAATTTATAATGTTCAAACATCGGTCAGTTTCCAATTCAATTCATTTATATTATTTACAAGGGCTGAAGCAAGGAAACTTGCTTGTAAGGCCACACAAAGTAAAATTAAAAAAATGAAAATAAACGTGAGACTAAAATTGCCACAAATAACCACAAAACAATCAAAAACAAATGACAAAAAATGAGAAACCACCATCAAATTTTCAATATATATAATACATATAAATGTCCAATTTTCCGTCAATATAATGATGAAAATGCTACCCTACCAGTTAGGAATAGAATTTTTAATTCCTTTTTTAAATGATTGTAAGTTAGTTGATACAATTTCGTCCGGTAGATTAATGAAGACTTTTAAAATATTAAATAATGAATTGTTAAATAAGAGATAATGTAGTTTGAAAAATAAAAATATAAAAATATTTATCACGATTTTAGAAGTCTTGCTGAGTTGAATGAATCAAGTGATGGTTAAGGCTAATGATGCTGAAACTGAAAAATAATGTTTTATTATTAAATAAGAATGTTGTTATTAGCTGAAAATGCAGATAAATTTGCGTTATGGGTTTTGAGTTAGTTGGCTTCAAGTGGTGTCAAATTTTTTAAGTCCTAATAAAATTCGAATATTACACTTTTGGACTATTTTTCCAAATTATTACACAATAAGAATAATATGGTTGTATGAAAGTACTGTAAAGTAATACTATTATCTTATGAAGGAATCTATTTTTGATTTGCTGGTAACTTCTAAATTTTTGAAAACTTTCCTAGCAATGTAAATAAAAGGCTCCGTCCATAACAAGTTGCTGGCTGGGACGACGCCAAGAAACTTAATCGAGGCAACTTGCTTGATGTCTTTATCCTCCATGCATAAATTATAGTTAATTTAATTGGTAACAATTTTTTGACCCAATCAGTATACAACAAGTCTTTTGTTCCCAGTTTACAATCAACTTATTGCTAATGCCAATTCGCTCTATTAATCCATTTAATTAACATCACAGGCTTTCAACATAACTGTAGTGTCATCGGCTTAAGAATCCTCCTTCCTCCTAGATGAATGCGCAATATCATTAACATACAATAGCATGTCCTAGAATCGAACCCTGTGGAACACCTTTATAAACTGGCTTGATCTCTGACTGGAACCCATTTAAATCTTCTTTATGATAAACAGCTTCAGACCTTTGACACCGTAGCTGAAAAATTTTTGCGACAAAATGTCATGGTCGATTGAATCAAAGGCTTTTGAAAAGTCGAAAAAAAAACTCAATACTCAACATCAATTTTAATTTTTCAATGTTATTAGCGATAAAGATTAAATTTTTTTAATCCATACTGATTTGATAAAATTATTGAAAAAAATTAGCAATCTTTTAGAAACAATTGTTTCCATGACCTTTGAAAAAAACTGGCATGAGAGAAATTGACCGTGGTTATTGAAATCTGTGTACTCTCCCTTTTTAAGAACTGGAACTATCTTAGCTCATTATCATCGTATCTTGAAGCACATCATTGCCCAAATTAAACCGGCAATCTATGCTGATAATGACATGTAGTTTTTTTCAAGTTGTTCAGTTCTCTTTTTAATTTCAGCTTCGATGTCTGGAGGGTTAGAGAGAAATTTGATTAGAGCAACATTGATTGGTGTTGTTGGGACTCGTTTGATTTATCTGTTTGTTAGTGTTAATACATCAAATTTTTATTCTTGCTTTTCATCATTTTGCATCCGCTTTTTACATATCTTAATATATTGATATAACTTTATTTATATTGTACATCAATAGCACCATGTCATGTCGTGGTTGTGACTCTTATTCAGCTAATATCCACCACTGCTACTACTATCTACAACCATCTTCCTACTACTCTAATATTACACAAACAAACTCTACTATTACTACAACAAATTTTTACTACTACTACTTCTACCTATTAGTACTACTACTAGTACAACTAATTCTATAACAACGCATTACAGCAATCTTTTTATTACCAAACTATGACAAAATTGCGCTCTATCTATAGAGCGTAAAAAATGTGTATAAAAAATGTGTTGTTTCTTATTACATGTTTCGTTGGTTTTCATTTTTTGAATTTATTTGATACTGATTAAACAAAAATTTCAGGAAAGTTATTTTTGGACACATTTGCTTTAAATAAATAGTTTGTTACTAATTCAGCTTTTGCATTCTAAAATGTCCGGCATGTATGTTTGTATGCATGTTATATTTTGTAAAAATATTGGCTTCGTACGAAGGTTACTGGATCGTTCCAAATGGTATATGAAGTGTAAAAAAGACAAATTTGTCAGCTAATAACATTTTACATCTTTAAATTTATTGAAAAATTTCTGATTTTTGATGTCATGCAGAAATATTCTAAAATTTTTGAATTAACGTTACGAAATAAGAGAGAACAGAAAGGACTGGGAATTTGCCATTGAAGAGCGTGCGACCATTTGTTACCAATAACGTTAACGGGTTCACCCCTTTTATAACATATAGAAAATTCTAGGTCAACTAAAAATTGACCCAAGGGAAGATATTTGATTCCGACATGCCAAGAAGGATTGACGCCCCTGGAGGATAATTTTGAATTGTTTGTCTTAATTTGTAAATTTTTATGTTGAATTTAAAATTAGCTTCTTTTTATACATTTTGGATATGCTCATATAGATTAATTTTAAATTTACGTTCAATTATTATGCTATGAATCACGTTCAGCATCAGCACTTGAAGCTTCTTCCATTAGCACCAAATCAATCACATCATTGAAAGATTTCACGTTTCCAAATTCAAGTTTCTCTTTTAAAAGAAATTTAAAATCATTATATTCAGATAGAATTTCTGCAAAGGAGCTCTCTGGAAGCAAATGTTTATATCTTTCAACTAATACATTTAATTCTCTTTTTCCAAATTTATAATCATTTTAATTTTTGACTGCTTGGGTATCAAACGCCACATATTCCTTAAATTCATTAGCTGGAAACCTTTCCTGCAAATGCTGACACAACCCTCCAATAAACCTCAAAATTGCACTCAAATCTGTATCTTCGTAGCCTGTATTTGATAAAAGTGTTGCAACTGCATCACTTCAAGAAGGTTTGGATTTTACTGCAGATAATTAAATAATTACACAAATAATTTCCGGTCAAAGATAAGTTTGTATGACTTAGTTCAATTCCTGTCGTGTTAGCTAAGAGATTATTATTTGAGTAAATAGTTTTTTGTCTTTGGTTATTATTCAATTTATTGTCAATGAAAGATGGCCTACCTTGCTAGGAAATCGGCTCTGCTACTTTGTAAAAATGTCGTTAGGAATAATTCTTTGAAAACTTTTGCTTCCCAGGTCGCTAGAACAACTATTTTTCTAACAAATAAAACTATTTTCCAGAAAAATTTCTTAAATTCTCGCAAGGATATTTCTGTTAGTGACCTTCATGCTTTCCTTCACTTTTTTTTAATCTTTTTAAATTTTAATTAATTTTTATTTTATCTTAAACAAATTATTTACATAAATTTTTTTTTGTATTGTAAGCATTTATTACAGGCTAAAATTTTGTTGTTATTTATTCAATTATAATATTATATTTGCTTCTGGTTTTATTTTATGTGTATGTTTCTTTTTTTATTTTATCAGACTAGCTCTTCTGTTGACTATAATTTTTAATAATAATTCATTCATTAGTGAAACATTGCACACCTTTGCTGGCATATTATTATTAAATAAGTTTAATCATAAAATTTTAGACTGGATTTCCCCTTCCTAACTTTTTTTTTTACTGGTAAAATGTAGAATGACTAATAAGCAGAGTTGATGTTTCTTGTTGAATGTTTATTAAGTTTTTCTTTTCAGGGAGCTCCAAACACTAACAATGTCTATGAATGACAGCTGCAAGAGCTAAAAATTGAATAGTGGTACATTAGATAAGTCAATGTTTTATGGTTATAAAATTTTATAAAAAATTTAATGGTGCATTTTTATGATGATTTTCTGATGCTTTATCATTTAATAGCAATGTTGAGCTTTAAGAGAAAGTTTATTAGAATGCATGCATTGACTATGCTTGGATAGCATACAAATGCAAACTGACTTTTGGTTAGGTGTACATGGGTTTTACTTTTTTCAAATTATTGAAAATAAAGATGGGGTTGATCAATCAAAGTTAAATTAAAAGAAGATATTTCAAAATACAAAAATATTGTGTAAGCATATATATATTTTAGTGAAAAAAATGGAAAAAACGAACTACAAACATATTAACGCCAAACATTCAGTAGAATTTATAGAACATATATATATAATATATATATATTATATATATATATAAGAGTATTATTGTATTAGCCTTATCTATGCCTACCTGTATCTACATTATTATATTTATATATAAAGGTAAACATAATTTGTGGTATGTAGTGCATTAACATTGGTTGTCTTGTAATTTTTACTTTTACTTTTTTTTTACTAATTGCAGTTGCCATGTCAAATTGTTGACAAAAAATTTCTCAGTCATGTTCCTCTGACTCTAGACATGGTCAACCAGAGAGTTCTTCTTGTCCTGCGTCTTTATGATAAAATCAACCCAGATAAAGTTTGTTTATAAAATTTAATTGTTATTCTTAAATAATCCAATTTCAGATTATATGTTTGTTGAATTTCTAAATGAAATTTAAAATTTTAGACATTCTGAGTTTGACAACTTTTTTGCTAAAGAAAAGTCATTTGCACTTGAACAGAGAGCTCAACATTTTGAGGCTTTGTGTTGTACTCATTAAAAAGTGCTAGATCATTGATATTAGATGTTCAGTTAATTGTTGATTTATTTTTAATAAGTTCAACAATTCAGCAGATGTCATATTAGCTTGCTATAAGCAATATCCAAATAGCAGGTTATAACCATTTGTACAGTTTTTTATGTCAAACCTCCTGAGGTTGGTTTAAATTAATGGATACAGTTGTTATAACTTTAAATACAAACTATGTTATAATGCAGTTGTTAGGATAGAGTTAGGATACAGTTGTTATAACTTTAATTACAAACCATGTTATAATATGTATCTGTACAATAAACTTGTAACAATCATCTATCTCCTCAGTTGACGTTAGAGTCACATTTCATAAATGACTTGGGACTTGATTCGCTGGATCACGTTGAGGTCATCATGGCAATTGAAGATGAATTTGGTAAGTGGCTTTCACTTATGTTATTTCATGTACAGTGCTTATTTGTAATGTAATAAATTGCTCTCATAGGAGATGTTATAGGGAATTACTGAAGCTATGCAAGTTATTGAAAGAAAGCTTATTGAAGTAGGTAATTGAAGATAAGTTTCCAGGGTTGACTAAATGTTGAGTGAGAGGATTCGGTCAGAAGGTTTGAACTTGTTTGTACAATTTATATTTTATATAATTGTCAATATTGGTCCCCTAAGTAACTGGATGTGTGAATGCAGGGAAAACAAACAGTGTGTAAAATGGAGAAAGAATTTTTGTGACTTTAAGTGGCAAATTGGACACTGCATGAATACTTGCAAAGATGAAAATGATGAAAAACTGTGACACAAAGTGGACTAGATTAAATAAACATTTAAAATAGTAGAAAAACAGAAGGAAGTAGTTAGGAAAAATTAGGAGGCGAATATTGGTTCAATAGGATAGGCTATTCCAAAAGATGTTGGGTTCTTATAAGCAGTACAGTGTATACAATGTTCTGGAGGAACTAAATTCAGTCGCATGTCAGTCCAACAAATCAGCAAATGCACTTAACTAAAACATGACATACCACAAAATGTAAAAAGTTAAATTATAAGTGGCAAAAATTGAAACCTGTTTTTTAATAAAATAATACCAATTGCTATCTATGCTGTGAGTCATTTTAACAAGATATGTTTTGAATTATTATATATATATATATATATATATATATATATATATATATATATATATATTCATGCATACGTGTATTTAGGTGTTTAGGAGTCTAACGTTAAAAACAATAGCCTCAACCATCATTTTGTTCCAACTTGCCAGCCAATAATGTGTATGTAGGTTATGTATAGAAATCATTATGCACCACCCAACATCTTTCAATGTGGTCACACACTGCCAATTAAGATGGTTTGAGTTTGTTTGGGCAGATGGCTGTGAAGAATTGTTGTTGTTGACATTTAGCAAATTATGTCATGAAACTGTACAAACCAAGTACGATGTTTGGTTCGAGTGGGATGGTTGGATGATGCTGCTCCATTGTAATCAATGAAATTTGTGTGTCATTGCCAGCATTGTCTACATTCCTGTACACAAAGAAATTTTGTGTTTTATTTTCTGTTGCTTAATATTAAAATTGAACAGTAGATGTCAGAAACTTGAAAGTTGCTATAGAATAAATATGTCTGCATTATCAAAACATTGGTGAGAATATTTACCATTTAATGATGGTCCATGCACATCATTTAATATTGATGGGTCTCTACCAATGTCAAAAGAGCCCTACATCAATGATGTAGGTGACTTACATTACAATAACTTTTAGGAGGTGGATGTGTCTATCAGAGGCTGATAGAGTCCATCATGAGACCACATTTTAATTTGAATAATGAAGCATTTCCAGAGTGACTACAATCAGATGCCATTAGATGGTTAAATCTATGAAAAGTCTATATAAGATACTAACAAAGTATACTATAAACACTGAGTGATATGTATGGCCGCACAAAAATACCAGAAAAACTTACCAACTACATTCAGTAATTCTTCATCAATCCATTCAGCGTCTTCCATGTTGTTGTCGTAGGCTGTTACTGCCATCAACTCTCTCTTCCTCCTTGCAACTAACCTAACTGGTCTTGTACGTTATATAGTTTGCTCTATGCCACATGTTCGGATGTGAGCCTTCAAGCTGACCAGTGAGGTATGATACAAACAACACTTTTTGCAGAATAAAAATGCATCCTTATACCTACAACTTACCTTTGACCATAATGACAGCAGGTTGGCTGCATTCTCTCGCTTCACATTGCCTAATTCACACAGTTTCTTCTGAACTAAGTCAGTCACATCATCTTTAGCTTTCACGCTACACCAAAACGCATTTGTATCTGACTGCAGAGACTGTGCACTTTAATTTGGATGAGACAGCTTAAGTGCCTCATACAAATCAAAATACAACTTTCGTTTATCAACCATTTTGTATATTTGTTTATACTGCGTGCATCACTGTCACGCTGGATGAACCCTCCCCCCAGCGTGACATAATTTTTGAATGGCCCCTAAACAAAACTTAGTAAAAATACTGGGGAGAGTTTTGTTTCATGATGGCTTATGTGTGTTGCTTTTGAAGAGCATTCAACATGGCTCAATGTACGTATCTTCTAAATAAAACGCTAAATGAGTCTTATATATTTTTTTTGTTCAATTTAATTTCGTGATTCATTTTCATTTTAAAGTTCGTTTGGTTAATTAATTTTATGTATTTGTTTTATGAATTCAACCCCTTTTATTTATGCTAGTTATTTTATTTGTTATTAATTTTTCCACAAAGGGTTTGAGATTCCTGACTCAGATGCTGAGAGATTACTGACTCCGGCCCACATTGTGCAGTACATTGCTGATAAGGAAGACTTGCATTGAATCTACTTGTTCCAGTTGATAATAATATTAATAATAATAAATATAATATCATCAAATGAATTAAAAATAAAGCTTGAGGAATTTTCATTTAGAAGAATAAATCTTAGATTGTTTTTACATTTTTGGATAATTATGAGTGACTAACTGTTGTACTCTTCCAGGATTTGGGGTTAATGAAATAGATTGACTTGTCACGTGTTGGCTTAGAAATTTTGTTGTTTTAGAGATGATTAACTGATGTGAAATTTGTAATTAGTTTGATCGGCATTTTGTCTGTAGTTTTAAGTAACAACCGTATTTTCTATCTAATGTTGAAACTAAGTTTTGAATCTCGAATGAGTACATATGCAAAGATTTCGAAAATTGAAGTTGCTTTATTCCGTTTTGTAATCGTTCGTTTTGTGTGTCACAGACAACGTTTTGACCGATATCTAAGAAACAGGGATAGTGGGTGCACCCTACGGGGTGTAAGAAAAATTGCATTATGTCCCATATAGTAATTAATTGTCATGGGTCGATACAATAATAAGGCTAAACATTGTTTGGATATATTCTGGTTTGCAAGTTCAGAAACGTGCTGGTCAAAACAATCAAGAAGTTTTGCAAGTACTACTGGTCATTCCTCAAAGTTTAAACATCCATTCTACCTTTTACGGTTTGTAGCCACGTATCTTCCGTTTTTAAGTTAAATGACGATGACGGCACTGTATTGTTCTCACTTGTTCTTCATTTACTCTTGTCTCTGTTGACGTTTTTTAGTTCTTACGACCAGTGACTTTGCGGCTCATTCAAAAGTGCTCGTTCCTGTTTATAGCAAAAGAAAAACTGCCTTGTCGCATTGAGGCAGCGGTTCTCAATTCGCGAGTCGCGACTTCAACGGACATCCGAAACCATCGAAAATAAGGTTTAATAATAAAATGAATAATTTTCAAAAAAAATTTCTAATTATATTATGTACCGGCAAAATTTCGTAATTTCACCTGGCAGGGGTTTAATTACAAAGTTTTAACATACTGACTTACAGTTTGCTGTAATCAAAAAACTAATGTTAGTCAGTATTGAACATGTTCCTGAAACATTACAGAAGATGTTTATTGGGCTATAACGATGCAGCAAAGAATGATTTTTCTTCATTGTTAGTTGCATAATTTTGGATCAAGTGTTTGCATCCATAAGAAAGTTAAAAGCCATATTTTGTTTTTTTTATGTGATAGTGTTGTACCTTCACCTTAAATTTCCAACAACATGTCTATGCGAAACCAAATTTTTCAGACTGTTAGTTACCTAGTCTAAAAACAGAAGTAGTCTTTCAAAATGCAAGGTATTATCTTCGGTTCGTGAAAAACAGCATCAAAAAGTCTTTATCAGATGAAACAGGAACACGTTCAACCATCACACTGAAATAAGTTCTCCGTATGCACTGCACTGTCATAATTTTGTACAAGTGTAGTTGAAACTGCCACTCATCCAATTGTGGCATAAAAAAGAAGCAACAGTATGAATATAGTGAATGCAGTGAATATTTTAAAAAATGGAAGTCGTAAAGATAAATTTTATAGAACATTACTTTAATCAAACAAGAGTAATGTTGTTTACTGTTTTTTATATTCATTTATAAAGTTTTGTCCACGTTCGGGTTTCAACAATTTGTGTATACCTACCTGTAACACAACGGTACAGCACCCTAGCAGCAAAATAACAGTTATTTGACCATGAACAAAAATAGTTGATCAGTTGGGGTGGAAACATTGTGAGGAACGGCATCTAAAAGGGTGGTGGCACTAAATGTGGAGAACTACTTGATGCGTTGTCTCTGTGTTTGATAAGTGTTAATTTTAATAAAGGATTAAAACATATATATTGATAAAAAGTAAGTATTTAAGGTATTATATAAGCACATTTTCATGCATCCAAATATGTATATTTGTCTGTTCTATATTATGTTTGTGTTTATATTTTACTTGGTGTTTTTGTTTGAAATGACAGGCCCGGAGACACTGCTCGTTTCCAAGATATGTCCTAAATGAATGTTCAGAAAAGTCTGAATGCGCAAATGTGCGGGTATGTGTGAGAAATAAATACGCGATTGTATGATTTACACGGCAATGGTAATATAATTGAAAATACTCAATTAATTTTATTATCTAGTGATTGTGTTAAAGTAAATGTTCATCGTTCGACGGGCAACAGGAACATTTTTGAGGGTTTATTGAAATTAAAAAAAACAAATTAGTTAATCTTTATGAAAAAATTTTTCAGCGTTACTCGAATAAACAAAAAATGTAACGAGTATTATTGTTCGTTAATCGTTACTGCTTACCTAGTTAGTTAACGTTCAATCGATGAACGTAGTTAAAATCACCAGTGTCAATATTTCAATAGCAAACAATTGGCGAACAGTACGAAAACAAGATAAAAAAATTAATTTAAATAATGTCCATTAACAATAAAGATCTTTTGGTACTTGCTCGCAGAATGTGTGCGTATTTACAGACAGTTTCATCTTCTTGTTTGGTTTTGTTGGAGACGTAAAATGCCCAGCCAAGTTGAAACATCACAAGGATTCACGCTCGTCAGGCGTTAATGAAAATATGATTCAATGTTTTAGTGAGTTTTTCGGCGTTTTAGGAAGTTGTACTGGCAATCATTACGCAAAAAAATTGATTTGACCCTATCACATATTTTAGGCTGAGGCGCTTACCGAGGCTGTTTGACGATAAAGATTAAAATAATAATAAATAAATATTATTATAATAAAAATAAATAATAATTAAACAATACAATAATAATTAAACAAATGCAATGCACGTTTTTCTAAGTTTTTAAATCCAACGCTGCTCTATAAGTAGACGCTGGACGAAAGAAAGTTGTTCGATCGAGGCATGTCTGTAAAAAAACGTCGGTGAAGTGCCATGTCTGGCGCTGTTATTAAGTGATGGCCTGGACCGAATATTGCCTGTTCAAAAATTAAGACCGTCATAGGCCATGTGCGTTTAGTGCGGTGCCTGCGCGTGCATACGATATATAGAACAATATACTACGTAAGGAGTTTCGCGTACGTCAGAGCTGTATAATAAAGAACCAATAAAATGTTCTACCAAAATATAACGGTGCACGTTTGTGTAGAATACTGCCATAAACTTATAGAATGTGATAATATTTGTTGGTACGTTTGCGGCATTTTTGAATGTAGACAGTTATAGCTGGGAAACATTCACTGGCTGATTTGGTTTGGTTGAAGTGTCAACATTTTGGACATGACAAATGCCTAAATTTTCACTGAAGAGTAAAGTACTATTTATATCGACACACACCCCACACACACACAAGATTTTTATGTATATATATGAGTACATCTATTATCTATTCAAAGGTTTGACGTCATTGTTCACACATTATGAGTAATTAAATAATGCTGATATTTTTTTACAAGTCTTCCAAGGTGCAATTAATAAATAGCGGTTATGCTTGTATATATATATATATATATATATATATAATGAGAGAGAGAGAGAGAGAGAGAAAGGGAAAGAGAGAAAGTAAGTGATTTAAATGTCTATGCTTAACACGCTATAGCAACAATATTATGTACATTCAAGATTAATTGACATTAAGGCAAAACGATGCGTAACAATAAAAAATGAATTTTTAGAGCCGATTTCAGGGCAACAACAGTTTGATGTATATGTATATAACGTGTATGGTGTGTGTATGTGTTATATTTATAATACATGTGTGTGTGTGTGAGGGAGCATTTATGATAAATTTATTTTGTTTTGTTGAATGAAATTGAACTTCTTCAAGTATAAACGATTGAAAATGTATATTCTACAAATAATTAACAATAATGATATTGAAATCTACAGGTTCATCAACAATAAGATCCTTTGTTTAAATTAAGCATTCTCTTCATCTGCGAGTCAATGTAGATAGTCCCGTTGTTGCTCTCACCCCACAAATCTCCAGAGCACGGTGATGGAGTGTCATATATGTCCCTCTGTGGAGGAAGCATGTTGTTGGTGTTGTTGTTGTTCTTGATGATGTTGCTCTGTGAAAGAGGAGCTCCATTAGGACTGAACTGTTGGTGGCTGGGTGGAGTGGGATATTCTTGGAATGCCATCATCTGCGGATTTTGTTGCTGTTGCTGCTGCTGTTGAAATTTGTTCGATACTTTAATGTTGTTCAAATTTGAAACTTGTTCATAGTTGTGGTTGTAAATGTTATCAGGAGAATTATTGTTATTAATTTGGTTTTTGTCAGTATCAAAATTAGTTTCTTTTTCATTTGGTTCCAACTGCTTGTGCACATCAACAGTTGCGGCTTCATCATCTTTGTTACCTTTTTTGAATGTGGATAGTTCTTGCTGGGCAACATGCATTGGCTGATTTTGTTGGGTGTAACAATCGTCTACACTCTGAGCGTGGCAAACATCTAAATTTTCACTGAAGGGTAAGATATTATCATAGACTGTTGAAAACAATCCAGTCTTGCTGTAGATGGGAGAGCTGAGTGGAGCCTCTGGAGGACTTGGACCATTTGCCAAATCTGAGTCTGTGGGACTCGAACCGGCTGAACCTATGACAAATCTTGATGATATTAGTTTTTTGTTAGGATATGGATTCATCTGCTGTGAGGAGTAGCTTGGTGGGTTAGTTTGCGTTTTTAGTTGAGGTTGTAATTGCTGCTTTTTGTGAATTCGTTGTTGATAAAAAAGATTTGGTTCCTGTTGCTGGTCCCTTCCTTGCTGAAGAAAGTGACTATTGTATATGTTTCTGCCTTCAAACGCCTGACAGTTAAATGGTGGAAACTCATTGTTATTTACATTACTGTTGCCATTACTGTTAAGTTGCTGATTGTAGGTCAGTTGCTGCTGGAAACTGTTCATGGGATGTCTGTTGTTATTGTTGTAGACCAAAACGTTAGATTGCTGATCAGTATTTGTGTCACAATTTCTTTTCCTCTTCTTAATCCTATTGTTGTTTCCTGACGTGCCGCCATTG